AAAATCTCTGTAAATGTTTATGAAAATTAATAAAATATAATTATAGAAAAAAAAATTAAAAAGAAGAAGAAGAAACAAAAAAGAAAGTGGCCTATAGGCCTGCCTCTCACGTTCCAGAATGCCAGCAGTGGATGGAGGTGGGAAGTGCATGTCCTGAGAGGAGAGCTGACAATGTTAGCTGACTAGATGTGAGTGAATGAGAAGAGGCATAAGGAGTTTTGCTATTTTCTAAGGTGGTGCAGAAAACTACAAAGAGAGTGACTGGAAGGGAGGGGATTAACACTTCGAGTTTGGACATGTAAGTTTGAAATCCTGTTGGACATGAACTGGAAATGTTGGGTGGACAGTTGAGTATTTTAATGTAGGTTTGAGAGCTACATTTTAGACTAGAGGCTCAAATGTGGGTGCTGTCAGCACAGAGCTGGTCTCTAACGCTGATGGAGATCACGGAGGAGTTAACAGAGAAGAAAAAGAGCTCTGAGGGTGGAGCGCTGCGGTTCTTGGTTCTTTGAAGGCTGACACTTCAGCGTCCTGTAGGAAGCAGCAGGAGCGCTGAGAAAGGAGCCTTCAGTGAGGAGGAAGAATGGAGAGGAGCCAGGTGAAGAAGAGTCTTTTCAAGAGGAGGGAGTGGTCAGCTGGCTCAAATGGTCTTGTGGCAAGGAATTGAAGACGGACACGTGGTTACTGCTTGTGGCCCAAGGAGGGTGCCGTTGACTGAAAACCAGTCACAGTGAAGTGGTGGATTGCCCCTCCCCCTTCCTGTCCACCCGCAGCTCCTCACACCCACCTGCCTAATAACAAGGAGGGTGTGTTATTTGTTCACACGCGTATGTTTCGTGTAAGAACCCCCACTCCAGCCAGCTGGGACGTTGTCCAGGTTCTACTCATTCCTATAAGGTCATTTTTTCCATTATAGCCTGGAAGGAATCAACTTTTTACTTGAGTGTTAAACTCAATGAAAGGCAAGAAGAAAAAAAAAAACACCCCAAATATTTGGAACATCAAAGTTCAATAATAATGCCACATATTAATAGTTTTTATATATGTGTATTTATATATATATTGTTCTTATATGCCGTCAAGTTGCCTGCAACTCATAGCAACCCTACGTACAATAGCTCTGAACCCTTTCCTGTCCTGAACCAATCTCACTGTCTCCAATACAGAGCCCCTATTACTATAGTCACCGTGTCAATCTGTCTCATCCAGGATCCTCCTCTCCTGTGCTGTCCCTCCACCCTTCCAAACATGATGTCCCTCTCCAAGGAGTGGTCCTTCCAGACAACTTGCCCAAAGTATGTGAGATGCAGCTTCAAAATCCTTGCCTTCAGAAGGCAACTTGGTTTCAGCCTCTCCAGGAGAGATATAGATACATGTATAATGCTTATGATAGAGAGCTCCCATAGCCTCGTGGGTAAGGAGTTGCATTGCCAACCCAGAGACACTCGGTTTGGATCCACCAACTGCTTTGCAGGAGAAATATAGGCAATCTCCTCCCATACTATTTACTGTCTCTAAAACCTTGCTGGAGGGTCAGCTATGGGTCAGTTCCAACTTGATGGCACACAACAATGCCTATGGTGTTTTAGGGGGCCTACTGTGCTTCAGCACCAACTGAAGCATTTTACATGGATTATCTCTGATGCTGACAGTAACCCCATGGACTGAATGTTACTATTCCAAGATTACAGGCAAGCAGTTGTCAACTTGCCAGGATCACATGGAAACTGTGACTGAGCCATTATGAGTTGTATTTCTACTGTGTAATGTGATTGATTTGCTTTTGAAATGCTCTTGTCAGGCATGTTATTATTTTCTGTTTCTACAGAAAGGACCGAATAAAACGCCTGTAGCTGCTATCTGCCTGACCAGCCTGGTGACCATGGCCTTTGTCCTTGTAGGTCAGGTGAATGTCCTGGCCCCCATCGTCACCATCAACTTCATGCTGACGTACATAGCAGTGGACTACTCTTACTTCTCCCTGTCCATGGGTCCCTGCAGCCTTCCTCAGGTGCCTGAACCAGCAAGCAGGGAAGACAGAGAGGCTCTCCACTGCTCTGAGCACCTGCTGTTGGACAAGACTCCCAACTATGGTTCTGAGGGTCCTGGACAAAGCCTTTCTGAAGGCACGCTGCTAGAATTCACCAAGGATATGAATCAACTCCTCCAGCTAACCAGGAGACTTGAGAGCAGCCAGCCCAGGCAAGGGGAGAGAGATGGGGCCCTAGAAAGTCAGAAGAGGAAACACAAGAAGGCTATCAAGAAAACTCTACGAGATAGCTTCCTTCTAGACCTCACGTCCTCTTCAGAGACCTCTGAAGAGCTGTCTCCTCCCCCCTCAGGGCAGGAATCAACTTGGGGCTGTCAGAGTTCTGGGAGTGAATTGATTCAGCTTGGGGGAACAGGCAGAGAGCACCTTGTCTCCGAGTTGTATAACCAACCCGCACCCATTGAAGAAGGTGAGTGCTGTAGAATCATACTACGGTCTCTCTCTTTTTAAAAATTGTGATTTTAACAAAGGTTTACAGAAAGGTTGCTTTTTCATTCATTCATTGTTGCACATTTTCCTCCCTCCCTCTTCCTTCCCTCTTCCCTAGTCTGCTCTGCAATGGACCTCTTGTTCCAGACGGTTGTCATACATACAATGCCTATACATATATTCCTTTCAGACAGTTCTTCCTTCCCCTCATCTGTTCAACACAGTGTTCATTATCTCTCCACTCTTTTCCTATTCTCCCCTCAACACCCCCATGTCAGTCCTGTTATAACAGTGGTGTTGTGCAGTATTTGTCCTTTTGTGATGGAGGTATTTCACTCAGAATGTCTTCCAGGCTCTTATTTTGATGTGACAATTGCTTGTCTAACATACACAATTTTTGTGGCTCTTTTTCCAGGACCTTAGCCAGTTCACTTCATAACTGGGTTTAAAATTGTTCATTTTCTTTTGTAAAGTTGTGTTTGGGTATCCTCTGCATTGTTCTGCAATTTTACTCTGTTACAGAGAGTTCATCTTAAATGGAAATTTATATCCACTCGTGTATGCCCTGGTGGCACTCTAAGGCTGGATATTCTAAGTCACCAGTTCCTTCATGAGAAGAAGATGTGGAGAGTTGCTTCCATGATGATTCCAGCCTTGGTGATCCTTTAGGCTAGTTTTACTCTGTCCCAGAGGTCACTCTAAGTTGGTATTTGATAGAGATCTGTGGTTAATACTTCAATATCCATTTATTTTCACTCAAAAATCAGTTGGTACATATTGCTAAGAGGAATGGAATTGGATTTCTCCTTTCAAGAGAAGTGGAAATGTGTTGTGATAAACTAGCTGACAAGGACTCAGTGTGTCTTATGTGTGGAAAATGCATCTCCTAAGTCAGGCAGAAGAACATGGAAAGAAGGGGGCTATGGAAACAGCTTTTCTCTGCTTTCCACATTTATGAACAGAGAGAGGCTTTCGAAGAGATGCTTACAAAGCATAAGATATTCTGAGAGAAGTAATTTTGGAGATCTTGACATGCTTGGAAAGGTAGAGGGTCTGGGAAAGAGAGGAAGACCCTGCATGAGGGTACATTGACACTCTGACCACAGTAATGACCAGCCGTGGAGATCGTAAGGATGGTGCTAGAGAGGGCACGGCTCGGAACTGCTGTTCAGAAGGTTGCCATCAGTCTGGGTCAACTCCAGCCACAACCACAAGACAGATGCTTTTAGTATGTAATTATTTGTTAATTACCTAATTAATATTACATATACAACACAACAGATAATTTTTCCCTTTGCAAATGAAGACCCTGGGGTCTGGTGAGGGCACAGAGAAGCCAGAGCTGACACTTTTCTGCACAGCTGGGCATCACACCTGGTCTGCCTGCCTCTGAAGCATTCAGGAGCTTTCCTGTCTCTGATTTTGAATGCTGCATAGGAAGATATGGGCAGAGAACTCTTAGGGACCAAGAAGGAGCTGTCTTAAAATAAGTGCTTTCTTTCTTCCTTTGTACCTTCATCTCTAAATTGGGGTTAATGGTAAAAGCATTATTTAAAATGTTAACATTATTTTATCATAATAAATGTAATTTAATAAGCAAATATATGAAAAGTTAAATATTAGTTTCTACTTTTCCATTCTCTCTCTCTCTTTTCCTTCTTTGCCCCTAATCCAGGGAGCTATGGTCATGCTGTGATGAAAGTATTCAGCTGTCAGTGGTTTTGGGTACCTACTAGTCCCCCACTCAGAAGGATCTATTTTCAACCAGAAGGGTTACTAACTTTCATATTACTAAATGATCCATCCATCCATATTGCTATTTTTCTGTATTCCAGTCACACATATCATCTTTTAACTTCCTGTTATGGAAAATGAGAATATAACTCTTTCATACCACTGCTTCTTCTGGTCCACTCTCCCCAGTATAGTTTTATCATGTGGTTTTTAAAATTAGCTTAATATCTAAGACTTGTGTTGCCACAACTCAGGAAATATTGGCCAATCCTGAGCCACACATTCTATGATTGAAGTTTCTTTTTTGCATAACTTTTTGTTGTTGTTACTAGAGTCAATCATTGCCTTAGTTTTCTTCTTTATTTATTTATTAATTATTTATTAATTTATTAATCATTCATGTGCATTATGTTTCCTTCATCTATATTGCATTGTATACAATCATCATTTACATTTTTATACTCATTCAGATACATTGTTTTCATTCATGTATATTTTACTTCATATGATCATTTCTGTTGTTGTTGTTGTGTGCCATGGAGTCGCTTGTGATTCATAGCAACCCTATGTCCAACAGCCCTAAACTCTGCTCTGTCCTGTGCCAATTGCACTGTCTCCGACACACCCATCCCAATAAACCCAGTCACCGAGTCAATCCACCTCCTAGAGGGCCTTCCCCTCCTGCTTAGAGAGGGCAGAAAGAAATCTTCACAGGCAAAAAAGCAAGGCAGCACAACAGAGCTGAAAATCCCCGCCCACACAGGTAGAGGACCCCCATGGCTGCATGGGACTTGGTCTGGCCCGAGGGCCACAGGCCCAAGGGCCAAGAAGAAACTACACACCAGTTCCATAGGACACATCACCTTCATTCGGGACACATTACCACTCAACTTAGGGGACTCTGGTCACAGCATAAGAAACTGTTAGTAGTGGACCTGTCTGGAATCACAAAAGCCAAGGAAGCTTTAGATAAAGGCTATCATATCAAGGGCTGGACAATGGGAGCTAGATATTGAAGGGAATGGGTAGAAGTGTATGGGTATCTTGATGGATGGTGGACCAAGGAAATAAGTGGGTCAAGTCACTTGTGCCAAGGGCAGGGACAACACTGAAACTAATGGTTAATTCCACAATAAGGGATATACTTTCACTTCTTCTGTAAAATGCTTATCTGTTGGATACTTCTCTATATCTTGACATTCAGATTAAGACACACTAGGAAGAAGGATTGGCTATCCACTTCTGAAATAATAGCAGGTCTCTGAAAACCCTATGATCATTTCTATACATGGTATTTTATGTAATTACTTGTTATTGATCTATGTATGATTTCTAGCATCTCACATCATCAAGTCCATATTGTCCTTTGCCTATCCTTCTGTGCTTCTTTCCCTTTTGAAACATTAGGTTTGGTTTTGTGTTGTTTTTGTTTTTTTAAAAAAAGAAAGAAACATTGGTTTTAATCTTATTTCCCTGGTTTTCTGCTACCATTTTCCTCTACATGTCTTGGCATAAATTTAAATTATTATTTCCGAAATTCTCAAATTAGGATGAGAAAGATGACTCAAACCTGGTCAGAACCCATCCATATATTTTTTTCTTTTCCCTTCTGTCTTCTGGCTCCCACTTCAGTGTTCCAATCTGGACTGCCACAACACTGTTGCCTTGGGAATTCTCTCTTTTCCATACTTTTGTATTGAATCCAAGGAAAAAAGATCTTTTGGATGCAATATTGCAGGGGAATTTTGCCTTTTTTTTTTTTTTTCGGTCTGCCTGATGGTGAGGGACGTCGTGTGTTTGAAGAATTTCCAGCATTTATGTGTCTTGGTGGGAGGCAAATCTAGCCTTTCACACTCAAAACTGAAAAATTCCAGATGCTCGGTTTTCCAATTTTCCCTTCAGCCAGTGTCAACATAAGACAAGGATTCTGCTAATTAGATGTACCCTCCTCATACTTGGAATCTGGGACTGGAAACCTAAAGAAATGGAGACTGAGAAACTCTGGAAGCTACAGAACAAGTACATCCCTGTCTCATCATCTAATGACAAGGTTCCCTAGGTTAGTGGGGTAGACTGTAATGCCTATTGCAATGTCTGGACTATTTATTATTGACTATGGATCCTTTGGCTTCTTTTCATACTTAAAAATAAAACACTACAAAACTATCCATGTTCAAGATTCGTTGATCAAGGCAGCTCACCATAGAATGGTTAGAAGTAAGTTAGTGTTTTCCATGCTGAAAGTTTAACAGGACAGCAAATAATAAATGTTGGAAAAGATGTAATGAGATAGGAACTCGTAGATGCTGTTGGGACTGTAAAATAGTACAACCACGCTGGAAGGCAGTTTGGCATCTCTTCCAAAAGCTGAACATAGAAATTCCATATGACCCAGCTATTCCACTGCTTGGAATATATCCTGAGAAAATGAGAACTGAGACGCAAACAGAGATTTATACACCAATGCTCATAGCATGGTTATTTATTCACCATCACAAGAATGTAGAAACAGCCCAAATGTTCAACCACAATCGAATAGATTGAGATATTATGGAATATTCACATGATGAAATACTACACAACACACAGGAGCAATAATTTCGTAGATCACTACCTAACTTGGAAGGGATTGGAGAGAAGTATGCTAAGAGTGAACTAACGCAATCCCGTAAGGACAAATACTGGTTAAGACCATTATTGTAGAAATAGAAAGTTAACTATTAAAACATGTACAAGGATCCAAGGAGCAGGAGGGTAGGAGCAGAGGAGTGAGAATGGGCAGGGGGGTAATTATAGGGTTGCATAATTAGATGGGTAGAGGGAGGGGTGAGTAAACAAAATGGGAAAGATCTGCTGTGAAACACAATGTACACTTGGTAACTTTGTAAATAAAGCAGTATAAAATTAAAAGTTGGTTGATTTTTTAAAAAAAATAAGTTAGTGTTTTCACTGGAGAATAGCAAATGTCAATATCTGAAGTTTTACTTGCCTGAGAAGACATACATTACTGCTTGCGTTCTGGGAGCAGAGGGAGAGGAAGGAATTTGAGGGATACATACTTTGAGTTCATGTCCCTGTTTCTACTCAATCTCTCAACTCTTCCTTGTGCCTGATATCTCAAGGGTGGACACTCCCTGTATGACTTATTCAGAAGAAAGCTCTCTGGGGAAATAAAGAGTCTTGATGTTCAACTGCCCCAAATACCGACCTGTCACCAACCCTCTGTGCGTCCTACTTCTGTGAGTT